AATTTCGTTATTGAAATAATAGAAATATGTTTTACATGCAATAAATGAATACATTAGCAAATGAAATTAATATTATAACATTGTTCTGCTTGTACGCATTGTACACTGATTTTAAATTCCTTCAATTTCAAAATATGACACTAATTGACCAATTCTATTTCTAGTGGTTATTGAAATGAATATTTAGTCCATCGTCATTTAACAATTTATGTAAAAAAAATTCTTACTAAATAAAATATGTATATTTAATTTTTCATTAGATACTTTCTCAAACCTTTACTTTCTTTGAATATCCCAACTGGATGAAGTTTATTGAACGCCGGTTAGAGTCGATGACTTCTAATCCAGTTACCTGTCTGGCGTGGGTTCGATCCCCGGGAGATGCTTTGGTAGTTTAGCACGGAGGAAGTCTAGTACTGGTGTAACTCTGTAGGAACGATGGTTTTGACAAAGCTACTCGCCTATATGACAAGAAAATACTTGTTGGGAAAAAGGCGTAAAAATGAACACAAACAAAAAAACGGACGAAATGGATTCAGAACTTTGAATAAAATCAAATTTTCCCTGCAGTTTCATCATGGAAAATGAAATTATGAGATAATGAAAACAGAAACAGCTGTTTTTACTTTCAGTTATCAATATTTTTGATATTGTTTTCAAAAAACATATGGCAAGATAATGTTTTATATTATCTATATTTTGATAATGATATAGCATTATCCGCTCCGTTTTACAAAACGATCAAATGTTTAACTTAACATTTTCTCATCAGTATATTAACCCGCCACTTTTTAAAATACAGAATATATTTATGTTGAATTGTGTATGACTCTGTAATACTTATAGACACAATCCTTAAAAATTTGTTCCCATGGGAACCCCCAACCAGTACCTGACAATGGAGTGTAAAGTTTCGTGCTTCAGGAAACAACGGCTTGTCCCTGACGCAGTTTAACCCGTGCGGCTCAAAATCCTAACATTACTAGTCCGTCTCGTTTATCACTCGGCCATGTCGCCACTTATGGGTCAGCGATACAACAGAATAGAACATTTATGAAATACTCCACATAATTTATAACCATTGTTTTTAGACAAGAACAACATTACAATACATATTATGAAAAATTTAACGGAAATAACAACAAGGGAACGGTGAAATAATGAAAAGTTACATCAAAGAATAGTTTATATCTTGGCAAAGAGAAAAACTGGGGAGTAAATACAAATAATTCATCATTGTCATCAAATTTATAGCTTTTTCCGGAGTATTGAATAAAATTACGAGTATATGAGAAAGCCATCCTTTATAGTATGTTTAATCGAAAGCTTTTAAACTTCTGACATCAATACATTTGGACCTGGCTGTACATTTCAATAAACCAAATATTGTAAATGACTAAATGGGAGAAACACAAGCAACAATAGGAGCGAATGATAAATGAATGTCAATGTCATTATTTATTTATCAATATGTTGTTTGATTTTTGTAAACTTACCATTTTGATAGATTATTGAAGTTTTCATTTTGAAAACCTTTTGTCTTAAAAAGTGCATTGCAGTTAAATGACCATGTTTGTCAATTGTTCACTGGTGCTAGATAGTATGATAAAAGCAAAGTAGAAACAGGAACTCAAAGTATGTAAGACCAAAACTTTACATAATTCAGTGAAAATGATCTCCAGGATTGACTTTCCTTTAGACATGCAGTCCAATTTATATTTGATAATGAACAAGTATTCTTGACAAATGAATCAATATGTTAATTATCTAGTGATTCTTAGTTGAAAAAATGTTGAAAAAGCTGAGTAAATTTTAGGACTGTTATGTCTATGTCTGTTTTGAGATGCAATTTATAGTTAACAGTGAATTTTGAAACGAATACCTTGAAAAGCAATTCAAAAAGTAATTTAGGAATTAACCTTAACAGAAAGAAAAGATAGAGCGGGGCTAAGAAAACCAGTGATAAAATTATTAGTAAGAAAAGGTGCACAACTTTACAAAATAAACATTATTGTAGAATCATTAGTAATTTGATTTTATTGCGTTGTATTTTTAATATTTAAATGAAAACGTGTACCAAGTTTGAAGTGAGTTCTGAAAATATAGGCTCTAATGAAAAAGGTTATCACGAGAGAGTCCCGCCAATAGCAACATGTTATTTTCTTTCAAAGGTCATAGATAAAATTAGGTAACACTCATTCTATAATTAATGATGTGGAACATTCGGGATATTCATCGAAATGTGGGGAAACTATAATATACTGACTTGAAAACAACAGTTTTCATATATCATTTAATAGAGAAATACCTAGTTCAAGATCTACAATACTTTAATCATTAATGGATATGTTAATTGTCTACACAAAAGAATACATCTCAAAGCAAGTCAAGTATTGTCATATTTTATTTGTAAAAGACAGGTCCACTGTTCTGCACAATTGATTTATGATCTGTTTCTGTTAAAGCATATCACCACAGTCTTTTGAATTTTGTTAAGGCGGGCATTTTCGTTCCGGCTAGTAAGTGATGTTACAGCCAATTTAGTGGAGCGCAAAGGGAAAATGGTTTACAAACTGAATTGCAAAACTCTGAAAGAATCGTTTTTTTCGACATACAGAGGAAATGTGTTAAGTTAGCAAATTGATATGCTCTTCAGCTTCAATGCCCGATTTTCTGCTTCGTGGTCTTGAGGGAGCTGGACGTTATAAGAGGTTAAGATTTGTACCTATTAATATTTTATTTAACTGTGCTCGACAGATTACCACTTTTCCATCGTTATTTTTAATTATAGAATTTTCAAACAATGCTGATCGGGAGAAAAAATACTTGTATCTGTTATATTGAAGTTTAGACTTGTAGAAGTTTGGAATGTCGACATGCATAACTAACTTAATTACAAAATCCATGATTGCTTTCAGTATAATTATACGAGAAGGTTGAAATTGTTGATAGCATTTGTAAAGAACACAAATATGTCTTCACAGTATAAACATCTCCTTGTAGACAATCCTCTTGTATTACAAGAAATATTCTGAAATAAAGTGTTCAATTTATTGTATGAAATCCTTAACAATGTTCTGTCGATTAACATATGGTGTTACTAAAAACACAAATCTTTGAAAACTGGGTCAATGGTGGAAATGTTCTCAATGTTAGTCAGAAATATTCAGTGATTTTAGAATTGGTAAATAATTCATAATTACACGTATCTGAAAAAACATTGAAAGTACAGGATAGGTTCGTGTAACCGTGACATAAAATTACTATTACGATGTATTTTTGAGGGAGCAAATATGATAATGGTCTGCTAATTCTGTATTTAGACATTTAGATGAACAATTGGTCCATGATGTTCAGACTTTATTCTTTAAGTCAGATTCGATCCATTATTATTCATTATTCTAATGGTACAAATACTACTTTTCTTTTCACCTAGCTCCTTTCTATAATGTTAGATTCATTGTTTGGAAAATTATATTAATCCCAATAGATGTACGATAGCCAGCAACTAATTGACCATTTGGTCTGATATCTGTTAATTGAAAAAATAATTGATTTCTCTGTAAATGCCTCTAATATATTTTCAACTGAACGAACTTTTGTGAATGAGAATGCCGTTAAATGTGTAATGATTGGGAAAGGACACTTATACGCTTTCATAGCGTATTGTCTTATCCTACAATGTATTGTGTTAATATTGTTCATTATGCGAAATATAACATATATCGAATAAATATGTTTAAACCAACTTATTGAATCAAATAGTCATGTAACGTTTTGTATTCTTAATATAATTGTTTTCTTTTTCATAAATAATAGCTGTCAACAGCTTTATATTTTGGAAAAAAGATTTGAGTAAGATAATGTTTCTATCATGTGAAAAAAAAACGGTAACATACGCAAATATCTTTAAATTTATTCAAAAAAAATACATACATATTTTAAACTTGTAATTCTCTCTTTCTAAATTTGGGCAACAATACATGTACTTACTTTTTGTGGGGTTTACTCATGCGTGTATGTGAAGAAAAATTCTTGTTTTGTAATATTTGCAACAATTTAATAAATGCCTTTTTAATGACAGATGTTTAAAATTTTATTTCACTTTAAGGTTCCAATTTCAAACACTTAAATTTTCAACTCAAATATCTACGTTGTCAGAAGAGTGCAAAAGTATTTTGACGAGAAAGCAAAACATTTGGGTTATCGCCTCTCCCAAAATAATGAGGTTTGACTTCATGAACGGTCTTACTATTATTGACCATGTCTCCTTGTCCATGATGAAGTTCAACCAAAAAACTAAAGCGCACTAGGATGTGACATATTGTGGATCCTGAGACAATAATATGCCAGTTTTCAGAAATTCGCATCATCGTTGTCGTAAAAGTAATGTCACAAAAGTAATATCTTCAGAAAATAATAATCACATTTTAAAACTGTCTGGTGGCTTTCATGCAACATTTTGTCATTTTCTATTGACGATAATGATATATACGTGCTACTTATTTCGTCTTTTACAACTAATATGGTACAAAACGTATATAATTTACTTTTTAAGAACCATTATGAGAATGCAGCATCATTTGAGGAAAATCATTAGTTTTGACAATCACGAGAAAATATGGCTACTTATCATACCTGTTAATAAGAAATTTCATGAAATGAGTTATTTATTGCGGAAAGAATAGCATATGAACGATGTTGTAATATTTTGCGGAATGAAGCGATGTTTCGTTGTGATTTACCATCTATCCGCTAAATGTGTGTAATAAACTTGTCTGTATAAGCCCTTACACAGATTTAAGGATTTCAATATCAAAACACAAAAACTGATGTGCAAACAGTGTAGAGCCTTGTAGGACTGCGTGGAGGTGACCTGCCTTTGTACCATTTGCAAAATAGAAATAAGGCTCAAGAAGTGGGGTTGGGTCTAAAACAACATATTTTTAAGACGGCCATATTTCTTTTGTACTTAAATCAGTAAAGCAACAAACACAAGGTATTATTAAAAATATTTATTATTTAATTGTGCATCAATTTAAATATACACACATATATCAATTTAAAACAACCTATAATGTGCTTTAAATTCAATATCTAAAGTCAATATCTTTAAGATAGGTAATATTGCATTGTCAAAAATAGATTAAAAAACAGTACAAAATATGAAGTGTTGTATATGATACTGTGCTTGAAAGCTAATATTTAAGGTCAATATCTTTTTAGAAAGGTAATATTACATTGTCAAAAATATATTAAAACAGTATAAAATATGAAGTGCTGTAATGCATTATGTGATTCTCTATTGCACAGCAAGTTGCAAATTGTAAGAAAGCAATCTATAAGGGTTTTGTGTGGCTAGATACTATAGGGGCGAGGATGGAGATGCCCGCGAGCAGTGCTCTGTCCTTGAATTCTGCTTAAGTCTGTGCTAAAGGGGGTAGACAACAACTTTCAAGTACCGTCCATGAACAGGCTCAATCAAATCAAGCCTGCAGCATTTTCAATTTTGCCGTGTTGGCCTTTCTTGAGGGATTCTGTATTTCTCTATTTTATATTTCCCGGTTAAAATAAAATTCCAAAGAAACAAATTGTATCAAGATATCATGAATTTAAGATAAAACACTCAATGAAATTTCCCACGATATCAGAACAAGTCAGTTCTGTTTGTTTATGTCTTTAGCTAAGTTTGGCGCCAGTTTTAAAGGGTTATTCGGGCAAAATAATGACAAAAATATTAAAATGATCTTATGTACTCAAATCAGGCTAAAATGACATTTCTTGAAGTTTCAGCATGATTTTCTGTTTTAATTATATATATTTTGGATTTGAAGTGAAATATATCTATATATGTTGAACACAATTTAGACGCCAATAGAATCAGCAAATAGTTTTAAAACAAGTCAGGTGACTTGAACAAACCCTTAAAGTTACAATAACAGATATTTTGAATATTGTATGATTAAAACAAGTCTATGTCATTCATTTGACATGTTCTTTAACGTTTCCAGGGTTCACTTTCACAAATATTGCAAAATCATAGTGCTCTTACCTGACCCACGCGGGTCAAGTTAGGAAACCACCATTTTATTCTTTATATGGCCGTGTTAACATATATCTGACCGAAATGCGGTTTCTTCCATCGATAGTTTCACTGTATAAATATTTCAAAGCTTTTAATCTTCTTTGAGATTACATTTCATCATTCAATAGTTATAATGCAAGCATAGATTTACTAAATGAAAACGTCTCCGCTCATATAATCAGAGTAAAAAGGCACATTATGCCTCTCAAATCAATAACTTTTTAATTCTTTAGAAATGTCAAATATGTGTTTAATGTTTTTTTTAATTAACAATGTATTTAAAGCATGGTATGCAAAACAAAAGAAGAATACAGCATTAATTGTGCAGTTTTATGTCGTAAAGGTGGCAAATAGTAAACAAAGAAGTATTTTGACTTCCATACAAAGTACGTGATCACTATATTCATACCATTTGCCAAAGATCAAAAAAGTAAAATAATGACTAAGTATAGCATTTTGGGTCTAAATGGGCCTTTAAAAATGTCTTGACGTGAAGCCCAATTAATCTTTTTATTCCCTCCTGATAACAATTGCTTAATGAAACATGAACTATGAACTTCTAAAAACAACGTTGAAACGCATTACACCAATAGAACAATATCATAGGAAGTAATATAAGGTTTCAAAATACAGTCATGTGTGTTTATGAAACATGAATAAAAATGGCGAATCAATGTCTAAGACTTTAAAAGTTAGGTAATTGTACGACATATATTTATCTAGGAAAGTAAAAGAAATTTAATATTTATTGATCAAAGATCAGAAAAGAAAAAACTTTAAACAGTGTGCCTCATGAAAAAAAAAATAGATTCCGAGGCATTATTTATAAAACATGGAATAAAGAAAAACCGGGACAATAGCTAAATTGAGCGCTTAGCGACACATCTCTAATGCCATACAATTTAGTCCACAATTCGTTCCAATTTCCGGTCACGTGATGTTGTAAGGGTCAGGTGACCAAAATATATATACACTCCAATATATGAGATTGAATACCAGAAAAGCTGTTGGAAAGGCGATTCTTGATATTCGATCAAATGTTCTGGCTTTTTCTCGACTTGGTGCAAACATATTAAATCTAGACTTCTTCCTCTCGAAAACAACCTGAATATTAGATAAAGAATAATTCATAAATAATCAATTATTCCAAGCCTTTTCATGAAACAGATTTTAATTACAGGCATACAACCTTTTAAGATTTCCATATAAATCAAATTTGGCGGTGAAAGTTCTTGGTAATTTTCAAGCATGCCAAATCTGGTATTTTATAAATAAAACTAATCATGTTGGAACGGAAGCGCAGCAATTTTTATCAAGGACCGGAAAGATTTGTCATATCAATCTTTTATCATATACGAATGTAGTTTAACATTTAAAAACCATACGTCGTTTGTATCCTCAAGTTTTTTAAGACGTATTGAGCATTGAGACTCGAGCAATTATATTTTTCTTAAAGCTATTAGAACTGAACAATAATACATTTGACTTAATATTTATGACATCTAATTACCCAATACTAACCATTAAATCCAAACATATAACTTGAAAATTGAAAAAGATAATAATATTAAATGCAAAAGGAACAATACTGTTTCTGTTATTGTAGCTTGTATGAAATAAAGTAATTGTTTCAAAACGAGTATATAGATCCTTTTGAAATACAATTTAGGGTAATATTCTTAATAACTGAACCCTTTACATTTTAATTTGAAAGAAACAAAAACACAAGTTTACTTTTATATCTTTTTCATTTCCATTCTGACCGTTTGTTGGTTGAGGTATTGTGACGTCACGTCTGGTGCTCTGACGTCTCTTCTCTACACGTGAAAACACATTGACGTAAGCAAACTCGATCAATGCAGCAAAGACGAAGATCAAGCATGCTGCTAGCCAAACGTCGATTGCTGTAAAGTAATGAGTGAATTGCTGTAAATACCAAACGTCAATAGCTGTAAATAAACGAACAAATGAGTGAAGTGCTGTAAATAAACGAACAAATGAGTGAAGTGCTGTAAAGAAACGAACAAACGAGTGAATAGCTGTTATAACAATGAACAAATGGGCGAATGACTGGTGTGTGGTATAAAGTATAATATTATAGCTGATGATTAAACAAGGGTAAAGCAATACAATACATAAAAGTCAAACATTCACCTAATTTGTGATAAGCGTTACACACTCTACAGCTTGATATAAATAAACAAACAACAAAAATGTGCGAGTTATGTCACGATTACAAATTATAGTAATGATTGCAATTCTTAAATTTAGAATAATGGTGGTATATTTTAAAGGAAGTGTTATAGTTAGAAATAAATGTAACAATATGCAACATTACAGTCATTCAGTTTATATAGAAATAAAGTGTATAAAGCTATATCTCTACTGTAGTTAACGAAAATTTCCTCTTTTAAATTTAGAAAAAAAAAACTATTGCAGTATTAAAGAAATACGCCCATGCATTTTCTTAAGATTAAACGGGACATTATATACTCTTTTCTTACAGTATGGCTGTATCCATGAGCGTTCAATTACATAGCTATTCTAAGTATGTTCTTTTGAGAAATGACCAAAAGATTATCATAATGGTAAAAATAATACCGGTTTTTAAAATAGCTTTAAGCCTTTTAACAACAAGCATAAATTACGTACAACTTGTTTGACTCAACGCCAAAAATAAAATTAATGTTGATATATTTACATAGACAACACTTTGTACTGTATACCGACTAAACATACAAACAGCTAAATCAAGGGCATAGCAATATCAAAACACAACAACGAAACAAATTTAAGACATTAACCGGACTTGCATGACTTAATAATAGTTAATATCTCTCGTTGTACTGGTAAGAAAAATATTTACCGAGCAAACTTACCTTTTACGTATGAGACTTTTGGTAGGGATGAGCGGGCGCCAGAACTTTGAGTCGTCATAGTGAGCACGGTTAGCAAACCAAGAGAAATTCGTGCAGGAACTGCGTCCATGTCCAACCAAAATGATACCCATGACAAGATAACGATTAAAATACTTGGAATGTATACTTGAGTTAAATAATAGCCAAAATTCCTCGTCATGTCAAATTCCAGCATCACGCAAGTGTAGTTTACTGAAACAAGGCATATCGTCAGTAAAATAAGACATATGTAATTAAATATGATTGTATTTCCTTGAATTATAAATATACTCATCAGTAACATAACAATTAGAAAACGATTTATGCCAGGGAAAACGAATTTAAAACATTATGTATCTGTGAAATTAGCCTACGTATTAAGCTCTCATTAGTCATACTGATAAAAAATACATTCAGTAAGGTGTCTCTTTTCTCAAGGAAATCTGTTACAACGGTGAAGGAAAGCTTTTCCATTACACTAAGCCTTTGATTCCTAAGAGTATTCAAAGGAACATTAGGGTTTTGATTTTGGTAAAAAAAGAAGCAAAAAGAAAATTTTGAAATATCCGGGATTTAACATTGGTAAAAGAGAGGAAAAGATAGAGAAAAAATACAGACGTATTGTATTTTTATTGTCATTTTGTTGCATATAATTTTATAAAATGCCATTAATTTTTATCGTTAGTCAGAAAATACAGGCAGTCACTTTGGAATATAAGTATGTTGCGACATTCGAGTTTTCTTGACAGAAATATATCACATGAAATATACTATAACAATATGGAAAAAGTCAAAATAAAACATTTTAAAACAAAGTTTAAATGCAAAGCAGCTGAGCATCGAAATACTATATATATTACATTCTTCTGTAGAATGAAATCAAAATAAAATAAAAACTGACAATATACTTTAATATGCTCTATATCATATTTTCTGAATATAAAAACTGATATTGTCTAAAGATGAATCAAATTTTTATCTAAATATGAATCAAATGTTCTTATTATTACATGTAATGATCGTTTTCATTAATTTGAACGTCAACCAATCTTCGATAGAAAAGAAATATAATTTAAATAACAGCTAGGAAAAGTTTCTCTGTTATTCTATGTTAGCCAAACCTCCATTATATTGCTTGTCACATCGTAAAGTATCCATCTGTCCTAAGTCAAACTGTGACAGCATGAGCCGTGGATCTACAGTGACCGGAACCAGATTCCAGTTAAAATTCAGATTTTCTGTACTATACGCATCTAAAACAAACAGTAAAAATCATTTTGATTACTTGTTTTTAAAGTCAATGATACATGAAAACTCTGAAGATCAATAATTCATTTACATACATAATTAAAATAATAATTTGCTGTCTGCATCACATAACTAGTCAACAGTTGAAATAAAGCGATATAAGATCTAAAACAAACAAATAAATGTAAAATGTACAAAAACTTTAATTATGTAAATAAACAACATCCATTAACAAAATTGAATTGAAATATTCATTAAGATACTCTTTACGTAATGAAATAAAGAATTTATTTTCACATAATTTGAAAGCTTTAACTAAAATTGCTTTTTTATACGGTGTCATTCGATTCGGATTTCTGTCTCATCGTCACCGTTATTTTGAAACAAACAACATTTTCTTATTCATGAGACAACCCTACCAATTCTTTAGTAGTCATTCACCCTTTAATTTGACAATTGTAAAACTGAAAAATATTATCTCAGCGGGAAAAATTCCAATACAAATGTTCAGAAGTCAATTTGTCATACTGTCATTTGTAATTATATTAACTTACAACTTTCCATCATGACGTAACATCTTTGGTAATCAAGAGGGTATTTTCGCAGATCCATATTACATTTCAACGTTGCTGTTATTCTAGAAAGAACAAAAAAGACACACTTTATTGACCAATTATTTCAAGAGTCAATCTATATCTATATGAAATATTTTAATAAAATTTATAAACAGTAACATTATATTGGTTCCATTATTATATGGTTGATTCCAGAAAAAGTTGTAACATAAATTGTCTCTGTTATTTAATACACATGAAAAATGTACGTAAACGGAATATAATGTTCCGGAACAAAATATTATTTTGCTATTTTAAGTAGTGTTTTATCCGTTTAGCAATGATTTTGTGTATGTGCCATTCGCCTTTAAGGCGAGAATTACCATATTTATTTCATACAAGCATTTTGGAAGTATAATATTTTTTAAATTTTAAACAGTAATTTTTGCATCAGATATATAGCTTTATAAACTTTAAGCGTCCGTTGGAATATATCTATAGAAGGTTACCTTGTAATATTCTTGATAAATGACAAGGTTACCTTGTAATATTCTTGATAAATGACATAGAGAAGAAGGTACTTATGTTCATGTTAGTGTTGATAATATAACTTTAAAACAATATTCGTATGTGTCATGTCTATAATCTAAGACAAGATTTTATGACATTCGCATAGAATTACTTCCAGAATGCCTCAATTATATGAAAATAATTGTATATTATATACTGTTCTAAGATTAAAGGAACTGTCTCCTGACAGATATAGCCGTCACATCAATAAAGATGGCGATAAACTCAAAATGTTCAGGTCCTGCTCTTGCTTGATTACATATACTTTACTTATAATAAAGATAAACGGAATCCTTTGATGAAAGCAAACAACGGTCGAAATGAAAACAAATGTTGCAAGCTCGGTTTGATTAGGCTTGTTCATGTTGTTCAAGATCGCTAATTATCATTATCTCATTGCTTACATTACCTTACGCTGTATTGTATGCGGCCCTCCGGATATATGTGCATTAGTTTGTTTGGGACTGTTACGGAGTGGAAATGAGCCTCTTTTTCATTGGCTATAAATAAGTCTGGTACCCATATTTTATCCATCAGTCTGGAATCTAGTTCAAGCGACCGAAGTCTCGGAATCGGTGTATATGTCAGCCGGCTGTCATTCCAAGTTTGACGTAAGAACATCCCAATAGAATAATCCTGTATAAACAAAAGAGATCAAAGAGGTGTATTGCCAAATCACAGGCGTTGTTAATTCATAAATCGTGTTCTTTTCCTAAATTTGTTTGTTTGTTTTTTTTGTTTTTTTTTTAATATCGGTAAAACGTGAATGACATTAATCCATCACAGACGTCGGTTGTTCTACTCAGATGCTCGCTTGTGTCGAAAAAAAAACGAGCAAAGCGACAATTGAGGGCTTCTTTCACCAGTGAAGCTGGAACGTCACCGTATGGCCTCTGCACACTGTTTTAGTGCGCCGTAAAATGAAGCAAACAAACAGTATTACCTATACAGAGTGACTTAAATACATCAAATAAAATGTATTTTCAATAAAAAAAATTGATTAAATAAACTTATAGATAAATATACTGTAATAGTAAAAGAAAGTTGGAATGCTTATTTTCTTACCATGTTTGATTCGCTAATACTGTCAATGTTAGTAATATGGAGCTGTACGTATACTTCCACTGGGAAATCTAAAACATAAGGAAAATACAGACATGAGGTAATAAGTTTCTTACTAACTATTATTTATGTAGTATGATAAACTGTTATTAGGTTTTTATTGTTCGTTTGGCCCCTCGCCGCTTCGGTTTTGAATTCCCCTGGGGAGTTTTTTTATTCTTTCATGTGAGAAAGCCATTCAAGATAGCTTACGGAACTTTAGTGGTTCTACTCAGATGCCTGTTCGTGCCTGAAACAATACACAGAATCACACCGGACGTCTTCCTCAAACATTAAAGTTATAAATTTGCCATATGACCTCTACAATGTTGGTGCTACGTAAAATCCAAGGCAGAAAAAACTCTTAGCTTTTAAAGCAGTGTTTATTACAATGCTGTCACATTAACAGCGGTTTACATTCAGGGAAAACCAATCTTTGTCTTTTTAACGCAATTACAAATAAAAAAAATATGAACAACTTTTCAAATGAATCATGACTCGTATTCAAATAATGAATAGGTGCAATTTAATAGATTAGTCTTCGTTTCTCAGCATGAGATCAAATACTCAAGCCTTAAAAAGTAAATATTATTCTAGCACTACATTTAATTATCCGTACCAGTTAAATATTTACATAGACCCATATGATACTGTTTCTCTTATAGCAATAACATTATTTTAATCCAAATGGAATATTAATTGTCAGGATTGGATTAATTGTCAAGTAAGTCGGATGTTACGAGAAGAATGAGTATGTTACGAGTATTTTTGTAACAATAACAATGGTCCTGTTTTTATAATGACGTTTATTTTGATAAGATACTTTAATACCTAAAAAAATCGGATTGTCGATATTGGACATACCATATTGCGTATTTGAAATCTTGCTTGTTGACGAGTAAAGCTTAATTCAAACAATCACCAGCTTTATCTAACAAACATATTAGTGTCAAATGTCATATTTTTTTCAAAACTTCCTTAATTTAAAACTGGTGTTTCTGTGTTATTTATTTGAGAGTGTATTTTTTTTCAATTACTTTTTTCAATCACGCGAAATGAAATAACAGAAGCTTTATTAAACCAATAAATATCACTTAATCGGCCGACATGACAATTTTATATTTAATCAAGATAACAAATCAAATAACGTGCTAAGAACACGCGTTTTGTGTCAGAATTTGATAAGACCCTAGTGGTGCGAATTGATTTTGGTGCAACTATTATATAACAAATTAATAATCCTCTCTTAATTGAACAAAAATTCCCAAGTCAGTCACATGCCATGCGGAACTTATTCTTAAAGTGAAATGTTATTTTCCGAAAGGGGATTATGCACGCTGATATCTCGGAATGTCTCTTAAAAGTACCTGAAAGGAAATACAGCTTGTTACACCAATTCAATCACCTCCTTATTAACAATCCACATCAAGATCAATTACTTAAAGTGACTCCACTGAGGTTTTTTTACATGAAGGGACTGGAAACAGTTTTCCGAGACTTATGTAATATTTGATGTAGGTCTAGATCAATCACTTATTTGCAAATTATTTTCAGGATCATTTCCTCACCCTTTATTTAAAAAAAAACAAATTTAAATTTGATTTGTGCAAAATAGCTCAAAAATTAAAAGCATTGCAATGTTTTTCACTAAAATCTGCTTATTGATTACACAAAAAGTCGGTAGTCAATTAAATTCTGAGCATATATCTATATTATCCTTTGCAGAGTTTTCGATTTTAAGAGCTTCAATTGACCTATGTAAGAATTTCATATTTATGTTTAAGGTATTTTGACCTTAGTGGAACCCCTTTAAGTCTCATCATTTTTACCATAAAAAGTACATTACTTAAAAGGTCTAACATTAAATGGCAGTTGAGCTGGGTGAGTATATTACGGTAATTTTTGGAATTCGGACTCATTTGTTCAAGTTTGAGTACTGGAAAACAAGAGGACTTTAATTAGACTGAGGATCTGGGGATAATATACATATAGAATAATGAAAATATCGCATTGCTTACATTGTTATGCTTGAACTTAACCCTTTACATTCTTGATCCGGACATTCAATTTTTTTTGCTACTGGTATACATTTAATTTCGTAGTAGAGTAAATCTATACATTTTCCGCAGGGAAAGGGTTAAACAGAATTTAGAAAGTGCCCGCAGGAATATGACTGACACATTGCCAAAACTGGCGTCGTTTTGCTCTAACATATCTCATAAACTAAAGCATAAAATTATAAAAAAATTAAACAGCGAGATGTCATATATCAATCTGGAAACAAAGTGATCCCTCGGAAGCATTAATCACAACAAAATTACAAGAGAATTGCAGACTCGGTTTGATTGAGTCTCATGAGGGATAATGAAAACGTGCAACATCCCTCACGTTCCCTAGCACCGGCTTGAGCGGTACTCAATTCACTTCTGTTTACAACAGCATATATATGATAATGTAAGCATGATCACTATACATCAATGTGGTAGCATAAGGCCAAGATGACAAACACAGATACAGATTAACACATATTTCATAGATCTCAGCACTCCGGTATGTTACTCCCATATAAAGAAAATTGCTTATTCTTGTAAAGATGAAGTTTTATACATTAATAAAAGTATTTCATCGAGTGAACTCCAAAAAAAGTATCCTTACGAGTGGCGAAGCAACAAAGCTCATGATTAAATCTTTTATGAAACAAAAAACACAGATTTTCTTTTTATTCATTTTATGACCAATAACAAGTTTAAATAGTATTTTTTCAATTTTATATTTAAAATTAAAATCTCTTTTCCCTACTGGTAGCCTCAATTGCAGACGACTTTTACATGATACAAGAACAACATACACCTTAAAAATAAGATTTTGTTCTTGTAATATTTTTAATTATCCATCAGTTGGGAGAAAGCAATTCAAGCAATTAATTTAATAGCAACTGAGCCTCGCAAAAATAACAATTCGTCTTAAAGAATTTGAAATTATCAAAATAAAACTAAAGAAAGAAACTAAAGATAGAATTACCATCTTCGTAATTGGGTGGTATTCGTGGATCGTATGAGTTCAACAGTTTGTCAATAGTTTTTTGCCTGAAAAAAAAGATAAAATTATTAAATATAAAGTACATGTATATTGTTACACAAGAGCGAAGAAAAATGATAAATTATATTATTTCTTCAAGATTATGTACACATATATGATTGTCTTTAATATTCACATATAACAAGACAACAATTATTTCATTGAAAATTTAATTTTGAGTTGGGTTGGCTTTTTTCAGTCCTTTTCATTTTGATTTTGAAGTATTATTGTTATAATCTATTTAGAAAGATTTTTTATCCAACTTCATACATGTTGTCAGTTAATACTGTTTAAACCTCTTAATTTACTTAATGCTACATTTTAATCATGTTCGATGGTGAACCATTTTATTTTACATGTTCATGCATTTTGCACTATTTGACAAAGTAAAAAGCGCATCTGAATTTATTGCGAAACATTCGCGGTTTAATTTTTCGAGCCTATGATAAAATGTTCAATAACGATAAGACTTGTTGTTAACCATATGTTACTTTAATGTTTACGAAAACAACTTTTCTATACTGGAAGAGCAACATGATTAATTCAAGCGCAGTGTTTATTATACATAATACATCGTTGAAATAAAAGCATACTCTTTTTAACGTTAAAAGCAATATTCTGTCATGCATCATGCTTTTTATGACATTTGTTGTACAAAATAATATAGGCATGTATATTGCATTACCTTATAATGTTAAAAGGTGAATTGTTACTTTAAAAAAACTTGCTCTTAGAAAGCATAAAATTTGAACAAAATTTCAATATGATTCTTTCTATTACTATCAACATATAAAAATAAACTGAATCAAATAATAAGGTGCAAAGCGGTAGCAAAGTAAGACCACTTCAAATCATGGTTTGTTAGGAAATAAAGTTTTCTCTATTACTCATAATGAAACGCTCATAGCACTTTGATTATAATATCTTGAAACAAAGCATAACATAGCATTTAAATAAATAAGCGCGCTTAGGCAACACATGTTTTCTTGTGTTAATGTACTCATTTGTTGCAACTGTTTTACCTATTACAGCAACTGAAATTGAAAAGGAGACCAACATAGATGATATATTTGTTTGCATAAATCTTCGTATTGTTTAGTTAATATTCGTCTTTTGTAGATTAAAATTCACATTGCAAGAAGCCAACTAAAACGGAATTTATTTACAAAAATTGATAACAAACACAATGAGTATTTGACGTACTGTTTATCCCTAAAACTTTTGAATCGGGCGTCCTTTGTTTCAAATGGGTTCTTTGACATATCAACAATTCAACATTCCAATTTCAATTACATGTATATATATATTCAGATATATGTATGCTAACTGCAAAAATAAAGCATGTTTGCAGATTAAAAAATATATAATTTAAGTTTCAAATATATATTGTCCTATTTATAGGTTTTCTTTAAAATTCACAAAAGTAGTCATTTATTCATATGTCCTTGAATAAAAAAACAAAGGTCACCAAACCATTTCAAACAAAATGTCTATACACTAGTATAACGTTCACCAAATATCTACCAAATAATTCATTGAAAACTATTAAGCATATGCTACATATAAAATGTGCTATAGGCAAGGACTATAGAATTGCAAAGCATAACTGGACAACGTGGGAGCAAATTCTGTGTGCAGACCATACACAACCTTTCTGATTTAGATTTAGTAAGGTACCGAGGCCGTTCGCCTGTCTCATTTTGAGGGGCAATATGTACTTGTAGCTCCTTGTCTGTCCTGACCAGATTGAAAAGTTCTACATTCACAAACACGAAGACGAAAGTTGATGCCTCAAATCGCATGGTTAAACAGGTTTGTTACATGATCTGAAAATATATTTAAAATATAATTATAGTTATACTTGTACAGATGAACCAATTACATTTAAATCTCCTGTTAACACCATTTAAATGTTGCTTTAAATAAAGCAAAATGTAAACTTTTTCTTTAACCTTGATAAATGTCTGTTTCAACTGCACTGAGTAATTACACTTGCCTGGGAAGTTTTCCAACATTTGTTAAAATCTGTTGATTTATACACCTAAAAAAGTCAGTTGTCTGCCACTTGCGCCAGCTTTGGTATTTATTTCAAGTTTTAACGTAAAGCATTAAGAATGTTTATATTGTGGAAATAATCACAATATTTAATAGTGGTGATATAAAGCTGTAGTTTTTGCTCTTAGATTATTTCACAAATATCCTCAGAATGGGTAAAACAACGAAACAATATTTATAGATGATATTGTTTTAAGGGACATTTAAACATAAACGTACTAAGTATTATTTCTTTGTTTAACATAATATAAGGATAAAGAATTCGATATAAAAATGTTCTCCTACATTTATCTCTATTTCGCTTCAAGACTTAAATTTCCAAGAGAAAACACACGTATCCACTAAAACGCTTAAATGAGAACACGCTGTTTATTGGCGTCCGCGCCGAAGCGCGGTGCCTGTTATGGAATAAATCAGATTTTGTGAAAAGGCGGCAGAAACTTCTCGGGCCTTTTCGTCGGTCATAACAGCCGATCATTTCGATTGAAATGTCGCGAACAATGAATAGTGAACCGGAGAATTTCGCAATGCAAACATATTCAAATGGAATTATCTTATCCGTCAATAAATCGCGCTCTTTGGGATTTTTTTATTCATCATTTTGTAGTACACACAGTGGGTTATTGTGTATTGCTGTACCTATAAATAGAATGATGACCATAACATTGTGAAAGTCCGAAAATCTATTTATAGAAGTAGTTTTAGTTTAACGAAATAATTCTTTTTGTCGCGCTATGGTTATAAATAACGAGCTGGAGAATTTTGCAGGAAATGAAATATGAAAAAGAAACATATTCAAACAACTTATTGCACTTTGGATATTATAGACCTGTACATTTTTGATATTATCTTTAATAATGATAGAACTTCAAGTTCCTGTGGAAAAAAATATTCTAATCTCTAGCATGCCTACCAAAGTCCATGATGAACAATGTCTTTCAATTCGTGCACCCATTCAAAATATTATACAATTCTGGTAAAACCCAATAAACCATTGAAAAGTTTATAAGAATATCTGGTCATCAGATGTCTACTAATTCATCTTCACTTGCTGCATTTATTGCATGGACGCCCTTAGATGCTTTGCATCAATGCTTTTCTTGTAAAAGACTGTAATACTGCGCAAAGAGATATTAATCGTTTTAAATGTTGTTGTTTTCGCTTCATTATTTATCAGTTTTATACACACATTTATTCCTTTAACAAACTAACAAATTGTTAGTATAACAACCTGTTGCTTACACTAAAAAGAAAAGACCTTAATTGGGATTGTTTTACTGATAAATAATATAAGTAACTATACTATCCTTAAAATGGGACTTTAGCCATTGACATTTATCTTAGAATAATTGTACATGTACAAAGTTTGTCAATACTTTGTTTTTAAGTAATTTTTTAAAATAAAGTGCCAGAAATTGAAAATATTTTCCCTCAATTTTTGCAATATTTATACTTTTGTAACAAGTCTTTTCCAATCAGTTAAACAATAATTTTTGTTTTGTACAGCTATTCTTGCAACTTACTTGCATTTTGTTTTGATACAAAATGCTTCAACTGTGATCATAAGTATATAGAAATATGTCTTTCATTTTACTTTTTCATTATTTCTAAACCTTATTGTTTGCCTTAAGTGACTACAACATGTCTATGGTGTTAAATCTAATCATAAAAAGCGATCAGTAGCATAAAAATGATAACAATGATTTCTAGATTGCATACTTTTCAGTTTAAATCTAGATATGAAAATAATAGGGATTTATTATAAGCTTAAAGGAGTAAAAGCAAATCGAGGGAAAATGTGTCCTAAATAGTACATTATGTACTTATCCTGTGTATTTGTTTAGTTCCTCAACCCTCCATCAAAGTATCAAATAGTACTTGGAATATAGGATGTTCATTTTCGTTTTATTCTCGTTTTTTGAAATCCATATTAGTCAGATGTTAATTCAATAAATAAAATCAAGATAAAAGAAACTTGACCTTCCCAATCCAATATTTTGTGATGGTCCGCGAGATGTTTAACAAAAATTAGTTAAGTCTGGTCGATTTTGAAAAAAAAATGTATAAGACCACGAAAAAGGAAGAACAAGCTAAAAACTTTGAAATATGGATTTTAGAAAAATATATGTATTGTCAAAAAATGCAATCATTCTGTTTAATAATAAATCAATGCAAAACCCGATTTCACGATTTTATTGTTATATTTTTTCTACATCTAAGCTGATTAATTATCAAAGGTTATGCTGATATCTTTACAAGTCCTCACTTTGATTTCCCTGGAGTAAATTATAATTGAAATATTGTAGAAAAAAAAGATGGATTAAATTTCCGAGAATAATTTGGCGCACAACTTATTAGAGACAAGAAAAAAAATAGTAATCATGGCACATTCCTTTGTAATTTAGAGCTTTTTTCTTTCGGTTATTCTGATAATTTCGTTTAAAAAAAATGTACACGATTCTTTATTAAGGAATTTAGCAAAGACAGCTAGATTGTTGGGGTAAAGCAAGAAAAAAGATAATATAACATACTTGCTTAGCAAAACTGAGTAAACCATTTATTAACACTCTTTTGATATGAGAATACCGCCGCTGTGTCTTTTATCAGCCATACTTCCATTACTTTATATGCACTTATCATTCTTAATAAAAAGTTAGTCTTAGAAAATGACAAAGTAACTAAGAAAAGAAACTGATAATCCTTGAGAACGCTGCAATTACACGGTTAAAATTGAATCGGTCTTAGTGATGGGTACATGTATTTCATTAGCAGTATTTTCGCAGTTTTGCAGCATAAGTGTCGTCAGAATATAAAATTATATTTGGAAAAACATTTGTACCGAAGCACAACTTTCTGCATTTTTTCATGCCTATCATCACGTATGGGTACAGTTTATTTGAATATAAATGTTAAGCATTTAACAAGATGTATAGCACATACAAGTGAGTTTTTTTTTAAAAGTTACAGATTAATAAATACAAGTTTATCTTAAATACCTTTTTGCTTGATAAAGGAGTGAATCAACCATTATTCATTTCTATTGCAATTTGTTTTGGAAAAATGAAACACGAGAAAAATGTAATATGACATTACATCAAATATTTCTTCTTTCCCTTTATCAAGCAACAGTGTTACTGTAAAATGGTAACTTCCAACAATAAAAACAACCAACGAAAGAAAAGTAAATGAAAATGAAACGGATTTTTCAAGCGATAAATTTAGCAGTAAACTTTTGTCTTTTGCATTGCACGTTTAGCATTTTGGCATCTCCTTTTAAATTGTTTTGCTACATTTGCCATGTCTGAAATTCTCATATAAAATAATCAATTATTTATGTTTATTGAGACCAAGAGAGTATTATTTTGTTATGCACGGGGCATGAACTTACAACTCTTATGAACGCAAACACCTTAATGAAAGGATATAATAAACTTTGTCATGTTTGTGCATCAAATCGTTAAGCCAATTTTGTCCCTTTGATATAGACCTGTGACTGACCTGTTTCATTACAGGTATCAAATTACCTACCTAAAAGGCCGATAATATGACAGTCTAAAGCCCAATAACAAGGCCTTTATAAAAACAATTAATTATTGACAATTTTATTACAATGTAATCAACTACACATAATCTATATAAGTTAAGTACTTAGTGAGCAAAAAAATATCTAATGTGAGAAAAAAATATGTAATGTTAAACTCCGTTGTTGTGAGATATTGCAAATGAGATTCTTGTTTTAAAATGTCTCAGAATCATACCTTGCAGCATTTCAAAATTGCCACTTGTTTTCAGTGAAACAATGCAGATTCATAATGGCAGAGCTGGAGAGCTTATCAAAAGTCTCCACTCTCATAATAGCCGAATTTTCATATAAAGGCCGTACTTTTTGCATAATGGCCTTGTTAGATGTTCCTTATAGTGATAGTGGTAAAAACTAAACGGCAATTTATAAGTATCACAAACACTCTTAAGCATTCATGGCTTATTTGACTACTAATAGCCTTATTTATTTTATTTCATTCCTTTTCGACTTTAGCAAATAAAAACAATACCATATTACAAACAATATTTTTATCACTGATGTGTTTAACTATATAACAAAATAAAAACAGATTTATTTTAAATGTTCAATAGCTTGAACTATGTTTGTTTAAAGAAAACATGTTTTGCATAATATATGTTCTGATAATAAAACTAAAGAAAATTATCTTAATACATTGGCATATAACTGTATCAAACTTATAAATGAGATCGGGGAAATGATATTATCATAAAGAGCGACTGATGCACCAAATTCGAGCGGGATTTTTTTTAAATACTGAGATATAAACCATAAACTGTTAATGCCTCGCTTGTATTGTACGGCAGGTGTCATCAGTTGCCAACATTCCCCTATGCATTGAATTATTAAAACTCAAATAATATGCTTTTATTCAGTTCTTTGAAGTTACACACCTCAATCACGTTTTTACAGATTAACCATGATCGTGCCGATAAGTTTTCACCTTTCAATGAATTTTGTTTAGATACCATCACAATGTGTGAACTATGTTTGATTGCTTTCATATTTAAGAAAAAAAAAACAGTCCAATTAATTCAAAATGCTTTGAGTTGTAATGTTGTTATGTTATAAAATCCGCATATTTCTAAGTATCCAATTACCAAATCAATTAAATAAACCAATTAGGTTGTTACAAGTATATACAATCCGTAAATTTGTATATTTTACTCTTATAGTTATAAAGATAAATCCTCTGGGTTAATTCACTAACAAACTATACTATAAATTTAATACTATACTTTCCTCTTATACTATATATTATACTTACAGAAGCCAAACATTATCATCGTGTTTTCTAATTGAGATCTACCATTCCGCTCATACCTTTCCTGACATGCTAATTAGAAACGATGAATTAATTACAAGCAAGGGAGTATTAATGAGTGTAAAGTGAACCAGGTTTCACCTTTATTCCTACCAGAGTTTTTATGAACATGGAATATCATCTGAATCATAACATAAGAATGCATCAATGATTTACAATGGTTTTATTGTGTATATCATATCATATACTGTATTATACATTGAACGTCTGTTATAACATAAGGGGATTTGATTGTTTACTTTTAACTTGCAATTCATAGACACCTTATTGTTAAATAAAATTTGAAAAGGAGCGATCCCTTGGAAGCAATGGCAACAACAAAATGACACAAAAATTGCAGACCGGGTTTGATTGGGTCAGTTCGTAAGGGATAATGGAAAGTGCAACACCCCTCACTGCCCCTAGAAAAGGCTTAAGCGGTATTTAAACTTCATTGTGTATATGCTGGAATCAATGATACCAAAGGACCAGAACCAGATTACAATACTGAAGCCAAGGACCAAACGCTAGATTATGACATTGGTTTAAAGCACTGATGGATATATTTGCATTGACAAACTGTCAAATATGCTCTCATTAAGATTATCATCATTGGTTTTAAATCCGAAACTTTTGATGAAACTTATTATTTTGTAAATGTAAAAGTTCATACTTGAAAGTTTGTATTATAATCAAATACGCGAGTTTGTAATTATTATACTCAAACAAAATTAATACTTATTACTAAAAAGAGAGTATTTATTACAATCATTATTGCATGATCATAATGATTCTTTGACTATACATATTCATTATTTAAATGGGTTCTTGAAACATGTATTGTGTAACCTAATTGAAAATAACTCTTTATAATCCTGCGAAGTTACGCTTGCCAATGAGCATTTTGGAAATGTTTCCAATATTTGCAAAATTTAGTTGATATCTCCTGATAAATCAATATCATACAATCTATAGTTCTACTTTAAGCACTGCACTTGTTTAAAGATGTATCAAAAGTGATAATATCAAACAATTTCACAAACCATTTTATCACGTCTATTTTCACATTCTGACATTGAACATATATATTTATCTCTGAGTCAACTTTTTGTACTCAAAATTCTTCAACCAACATTTGAAGTATATTTTACAACATTCTGTTCTATTCGCATATCTTTTCAATTACCATAGCGTGCGTAAAGGTGGCACCTTTTTACCTTCAGTAGATTCCATTTTTATTTCCCAAATTTGAAAATTGCCTGTATAATGCAAAACATACATTGGGACATCGATGTCAATTAAAAGTGTTTCCGTGCGAATTCGGAAAAAAATAACTGACAAATTAATATTGAATTCAACACAAGCATTTATTTCCCTACCTTACCATTAAAACTTAAATACCATAAAGGAAACTCAACAGTCCAAACGGGTGAAATATTATGCATGACTCAGCTTCATAATATGCAATGCAAAAGGACAAAATAATTGAAAGTGCACTTTATGATATGTTAAGGGCAAAAACGAATGTTTGCCATGCTGCGCATTAAACAACTTCATTTTATTTGAATTACACATTTGTTGCGTTTCTGATGACAATAAATTCAGTTGTATCCTGAATTATGCTGCTGCGTTTGGTCTAATTTCATGACAGATGTCCATGGATCATTCCAATTCATCATCAAAAGGTATAATGAAGTGCATGCATTGCTGGCTTTTAAAGCTTTTCTAATCGATATATTTACACCTAAGAATGTAACAAGAAATGAAATTATTATATCAAACATGCATTTTTTTCAAAACTCAAATTTAATCTTTAATAATTTACACACTGGAATTCAAAGAATATTTCCTCTTACCTTTCTTAAAAGAAAGACGTTTTTAGATAATGACAGTTTTAAAATATTCCGATACCGCTAACTATAAAAAGTAAAAAGTATTACATAGGCTTTATGCAAATCGATCAATAAATTTCAGTTTATAAAATTTATACACCGCATGACACATATGCTTGTATAATTATAACGCATTTCCAGTTTGTAATTCTTAGAGAACAAAGCGGTAATTTTAAAAGGCGCCACCGTACTAAGTATTCTGAAAATTCCAATTGTTGCAATAAACTGCAAAAGTAATTATTCCCATTTGCGTTAAATGAAAGCATTTGTTATATAAAAAGTACTGTTGTTTACTACAATATCGCATTTGTTTCCTTCCGAAATATATATAACAAGTTCAATAAAAACAAACGCTTGTCTTAGCTTTCGACATATTGTCTTTTTCAGAAGAATTTGACGTTTACAATAAAACATTTTCTTTCGTAGTCGTTACTATAGAGGCATACGATAGTACTGAATATATAATAAACATAAGCCGGATTTCTTAGATTCTTTTTTAGAAGAATTTTACGTTTCTTATGCATTTGCGCAAGATAAATCGTTGTCGTTTATCATAAAACGTTATGTGGCATGTTTATCTATTATTACAAAACAAAACTTGTTTATGCAGAATAAAAAAGTACATTCCTTTTGAAAAACCAAAACATGTTCGTTTTTATAAGTGATGTTATAATTTGTTTTGTTTGTGTTTGTATTAACAAGCTGGTGCCATTGCTTCAGGATAGTTTAGCAGTTTTGTTAATCAGTTTTATATGTTTTATTGACTAATGAGACATTGCTCTTTGTTAATTTATTTCTGATATAGAAAAAATTAAAATTTATATGCGTTTTACCATGATACCTTTTCTTAATTAGTTGGAATAAAAAAGACGAAAAAATATCATAAAATCAACTGTGAAAACAAATAATTTTTATCGGGCTAAATATAATTTGGATTCTGAATGTTATTAAAATGTTAAGGCTGACATCAAATTTCTTTGAACAATATTGACCTTCATAAAACAAACAAGAACAAATAGAACTAATGCATGAAGGCATTAATTTTTGAAAACTATTGGAAACAAATAAGCTAATACAAGATGTTTTATCAACTGTTACGGTCATTAAATTCGTTGATAATTGCTTTCCTTGCCTTGTCAGTTTTCATCTTTCACTTTTAAATATATATTCTCTTTTCAGTGATCAATTGTTTTTTCATTAAGATTTCTTAATTTCCTTGCACATTAAGGTTAATTTAGGGGCTTATACAAATGTTATTCAAAGTTCATTTTACAAAAAAATCTCATCTTTACATGTCGTCTAATTTCGAAAAATGAATCGCTGAAATAAAAAGTCACGATATAGTGTATTGCCCGGTGTTCAAATAACAATAAATATAATAAACGTCAAGAATACTGTTTTCAATTACTAAGATAATTAAATACAAGGACTTGAATATCAATAAAATGGGTAAAGGAATATTTTCTTGAATAAGTCCTTTTGTAAGGAAAAGACATTTATGCAATGTATTTTTGTTCGGATATAAAGGTTTTTATTTATTTTTTTTCATTTTCAATCAAAATCAAATAAAATTGTTTAAAAAACGTGAAATAGGAACTATTCTGACATATCTCAGATCAGTATCCCTTTGAATTAGATAAATATTTCGTTAAATTAGATTCAATACACTGGTATTAACACGATAAATATGGAAATAATATAATGCGTATTCTCATCTACGATATCCGTTTGATCAATATTAAATTTGATTTACAAACATAAAACGGCAAGTGTTTTTACATAAAAATGTTAAATGGGATTTTAAGTTCTAAGAAGTGTTAAATTCAGACAGTTTGCTTGTTCCGGTGTCAACATTTCAACATTGCAAATGAAAATCTAATAATTTTGTCGCACGTTCAGCTCTCTTAAATTTGCGTGAAATGTGTTGCATCTTCCACATGCCATATCTTACATGCTGCGAGCGTACAACTAGGAATTAATTAAAAGGCATTAAATATAACCTCGGGAATACAAATTAACGGTACCATGGACCAGCCATGAACTTACCACCTCAATAGACATGATCTAACAATAAAATGTGAAAATTTTGACCAAACAGATAATGTACTTAAAACATGCTATATTACTATCATAAAATAGAAAGAAAAAGTTTCCTGTGAAAAAAAATAAGATTTAAAAGTGTACAAAGTCCTAACTCTTTCATGAAATATAATATAACGTATTGTATGTCTTATCATATAGTCTCAGTATTGGTCATTTACAATATATAAAGTAAATTTCATTCTCCAGGAAACAAATTTTTAAAAAGACACAAAATAATATTATTCAGTGTTTCGAGTATTTTGAATAAGTGTTGGTTCAATACTTAATTTGATTAACGAGCTGAATAAAAATCTGGAAAAAGGGTTATCCCTCGGAAGCATCAAAAACAGCAAGTTAATTTAAAAATATCGGTTCATAAGAGATTATTAAAAGTGCAACATCTCCCATACCCCATAGCACCGACTTTAGCTGCATTCTAATATTATGCCGATCTCTTGCGAATAAAAAAGTTTTGTAACCAACAAGTTAAAAAAGATTATTATGAATACATATGAGTACCTTATTTTTCTCACATACAAATTTTGAAAACAAGTTTAAACTAAATCAAATCAATTTATTGACGCGCTTATATACGCTATAATATTTTAATAATGCATTTAACGTGACGTCATAATTTATTGCACAAATATCGTTTAGCCGGAGTCTGAAAAGCGGCACAGATATATCATAAAGCAAAACTTTAACCGGTTAACTTAATTAAAATCAACGTGAACACTTATTCTGTAACGCTACCATACGTTATCTATTTTTTATAAAGCAAGCATGAAAATCAGTGTAAAATATAATAAGACTTTTTCGCAAAGATAGTTCATACAGAATTGAAACATAAATAACTTACATACTTCTAAATTCCTCGTCAGTATTGAGAATGGCACACTATTCTCAGTATATTTCAAACATTTTAAAATATTCCGTTACACACGCGAGTTTAAAACATAATGATAGAGCTATCAATTACAGTGTGCAGTTATTCTTTCGAATGAACTGCAGACTGGGAACATTTCCAATATTCTCTTGATTGAGTTGATCCATATTGATAAGACGCTTTCATGCTCTCTGAAATCAGCTTTCATCGCGGAAATGTACCTTATCGTCTTTGAAACATGTTCATACAATATAACCTAAGGTAATGACTCAAATCGTAACGATTCAAATCGTGTATTTTTTTAAAAATGCATGCGCAGTACTATTGAGACTAGTGCACTTTTCTCGTTTTTATATTCTTTTTCATTGAAATCATTTCAGCAAATAAGAAAAGTACTCTGCCAGTGATTTTTTTTTATAAATAAGATACGCAATGTCAACTAAAATGTACTATATTGTACATATTTAATTCTTTGCTATTTGCAATTACTGTGATCTTACATATACTTATACCGGTTTGGAATAATGTTCCGTTGATCTGTGATCTTAATTACCGTAGTAACTTAACTGTTACGGGTATAAGTCTCTGTAGACTTGGTTAATTGTTTATTCTATAAGTCAGGGGTAAGCCTTGTTTCATTGAGCAAGAAACTTTAGACTCATTGCTTAGTACTGTTTTGTTCCAGTAACGGATTCGAAAGTGTGCCCCGTACTTCACTTCAGTGTTGTTATATTCCTCTAGACCTTCGGGATCATTGATGCCAGCACGATTAGGTGTTGAGAATCGAGTACCGCTCAAGCCGGTGCTAGGGGCGTGAGGGATGTTGCATGTATTCATTATCCCTCATGTACAGACTCAATCAAACCGAGTCTGCAATTCTCTTGTAATTTTGTTGTGATTAATGCTTCCGAGGGATCGCTTTGTTTCCAGATTTTTTAAGCTTATAGGTTCCTACACAATCGAACTTAGATAAATTCTGTATAAAAATATAATATGCGTAACATTAACAAAAAAAACATATCTATTGAAGAAACAATCCTTTTGGTTTGCTTTTTATACCACTGTCATAAACTATGTCACCTCAAGATCAATAGTATTAGTAGTTTCAATCTTATACTTCTGGATCATTGATTCTAATTCTTTACGTGTATCAGATTGGATACCACAGGAGCACGTGTTAATGTGATTAAAAGAAAAGTTGGACATACCATATCATTCTTACTGAAAAACAGACTAATTTGAAAAGGGTCAGCAATTTTCACCTTTTGTTCTTTTTTTCTGTCGAAAGATATCCCCTTTTAAGGATCTCAGAGTCCACTGTTAGGTCGGAGAACAATATAACAGTCATGATTGGCATATTATTATACCAAGTTTAGTTATCAATACGTCACTTTCGTTATCAACGTATAGTTACAATATCATGGTACCCACTAGTTCTCATTTCAGCATAAACAAATACCGACAACACCTATTTGATTAGGTTATTTTGAATCAAAATCATTTTTATCACATTGCTCATGCAAATAAGTCTTTTCGAAAACTACCACTTACGTTCTGCCAACACATATTTATTTTAATCTTTTGCACTTGTTCGAAGAAAGTTCTGTTATAAGTGAGTTTATTTTCATCACTCTTAATGTTAATTATTCTGTCTGAAGGTTCATAACTTTTTATGCATACAAAAAGATAGCGCACTCATTATACAAACGTTGTTTATAGCTTAGCACTGGCTTATATCTATACCATTTCATTTACAATGGATACATTGAATGTGATTATAATGCAAGTATTTGGATCATGCGTTTATCTGAAGCTAGGTATTCTTCTATGTTGATTACATTAAGCAAAAATATAAATCGTTAAGCGTTTTAGTTGTTTCATTTTTCTATGATACTAGCTGATTTTATCATGATTAACGTTTCATTTATTTTGAAACTATTTCCATAAAATATTCAAAAGATAGCGAGAAATCAAATTTAATGGCTGAGTGTATTGTAATGTGTTTCATGCTGGAGCATACAACAGAGGTATTTCAATGTTTGTTTCTAGTTTATTATGCATAAATAATGAAATAGGCGTTACAAATAAAACCTATTTACATAACCGTAATTGGTCTTTTGAAATATTCATGCAAACATGTAAATCAGTATTGATTTCACCTTTTAATATTGATTTAAAACTATCAAAAAGCACATCAATCAAACATTGTAAATTCATGGTAATAACTCAAAATAATGTCTTTATGTTTCAAAAAATAACACTATCAAAATGAGTGTACTAAAGCAGCTAAAAAAGAAATTGTTGCACGGTGCAGTTGCAGCACTCGAAATCAACACTCAAAGCCAAGAATGAGCAGAATTCAACGTTAAAGCAAACTAATTGTGTCATTTAAAGTTTTTAAGGAAAAATTGTTTATGATGTGGAACTACAAAGAGTGCGTATATTAAGTTCTACTTTGTCCATTTCTATTTTATTACACAATGTTAATCGGTTTTTGTAAAATAATACTTTCTCGAAAAAAATTAATTTGAATTATTTAAGTCTTTCTCATTAGGGCAGTAATTTTGTACAATAAGTATCACTTGAATTGATAACAAAACTATTTAAGACTCGTGTGTGTTATCGGCCTGTGATAAAACATAAATCAACTTAAAAATAAAGTCGAAGGGGAGATAATTCAAAACATCATTCAAAACACTTTTTTCTCTTTCAATTTATCATATTTTTAGACCACTCATCTTTCAAACACTTTTTTATTCTACCTTTACATCTTTCTGAAAACTGCAGCAAACGTCATGAAACAAGAAAACTTATCTTAAATAATATACAAAAAAGTCCATATATTAACACAACGTTTTCGAATTAAATTGTTTATATTTTCAAAAAAAAAAACATTCATTTCGCTATTTGACTGAAATATATTCTCTGTTCAATATTTAGAAATAACATTAAACAAGTTCAGTTGCATTGCATCTGTTCCTCCCATTAAAATAAACAAATGAAAAAAAAAAGATCCTGTATACTTATAAAAGAGGGGCATAATAACCGTTAAAAGAACCAGGAAGCCATACATCGAATAAAAAGACACTGTCACTAGTTAAGTACGGTTTCTAATAATTGTATTTTTTCGCGTTTTTTATATTTATATCCCGTCAACGAGACCATCCTGTCAACGACACCATCCTGTAAACGGCATGTTTTGATTTATTTGTCAAACAAATTCATATTGTGAAACCTTACAACTATTTAATTTCCTTAGATTATACATGAAGGAGGTTCACCATCATGACCAACACATTCAAATATAAAGTGTTAATTTACATGGAATCTCACAAAGTATAATAATATGTTTTTACGATAAAGTTTAGAATATGTCTATTTAAAAACTTTAAAATAATTCTAACGATCATTTAAAAAATTATAATGGTGAGTAATAATAACCACACTTTTGAAACAAATAACAATTTTTTGCAAAAAAATACAAATTCAAAACTCATGTATAAATCTCAACCATTATTGTATCAGACAAAATGTGATAAAATGTCTAGTTTTCCAAACATTTTCAAAAATATGGTCATACATTTACTATCAAGTTGGAAGAAGAATAAAAATAGTTTCTTATTCTTAATTTTCTTATTTTTGATTCAGAAAATTAACATGAAAAAAGAATTGGAGAAAAAATAATCACACAAAAGACAACAGAAACATTTAAAATTCATTAACAAATAGAAAGGCTGTCTTCTATTTTCATCTTTGAAAATAGATGAATATCATACTTAAAATAAATTTATAAAATTGTCTGTGTTTGATTCCGAATTGTGCATTACCTAAATTTCACAATTTGTATACGAGTTTATTCAGCTGGATATAATAAATATGGCGCCTTACTGTTGTTAACATGGTAATTGTGTTCCTTAAATAGAATTAATGTATTTTACTTCTTCTGGCGAGCTGCATATGCAAATGTAAAACGATAACTTACATTTTTTTTCTATAATCTTTAGTAGAAACATGTCTGTATTATGTAAAATATTGCACAATTCTCCGTCCAGTTTGCTTTGCTTTTATAAAACTTAATCCATTCCATCATGAAAAAATGTAAGGGACTTTTTAAATATTGTCAGGACAATAGGTACACATTCGCAAACATATTCATTTAATACTCTTTCATTTTCAAAGAAAGGGTTAAAGAATTCAAAACAATTTTTACTTGCATCATCTGACTTATTTACCCATCAACCTTTTCAATATGACCCGTTTAAAAGAAAGCACTTTTGCAAAAAGGAAATTCCTTTGAACATACCTAGATGTGATAAAACAAAATTTAATAGCCTATAAGATATATGGAATTGCACTAGTTAATTATTTTTAACATGACAATATTTAACACGAATTTTAAGAAGAAAAATAAGAATAAAGCTTTTCATATTGTAACTTTGGCAATTCATAATCTTTCACGATAATTTTCCATTTGACTATTGGGAACTAGAAGTATCAAAAACGAATGCTTATGGGAACAAATTTGCTCGTTACATTGTTATTATGGGAATGTAAAATAACAAAAATAAAATTATTAATCACGCTTCCTTTATTGGTATTGTTTTAGGCAAAGAAGTATCTATATAACAAGACAAAGACCAAAGAATTAGAAAAACTATAGAAACAGGTCATTATAATTGAGGATTAACGGTTAACGATTTTACTTGCACACATAATCAAAGTTAAAAAGCTATTGACATGAAATATATATTAGAGAATATTAGAGAATATAAGAGGAATTGAAGTAGAATTTAAAGACACATTTTGCCTCAGAAATGCTATCACTTGTTTTATTAAAATGTTTTTAATTTTGGTCTCTTGTAACATTTTCCAGAAAAAATACTTATTAATCATATATATCTCGTAGACGAACTAGATTTAATTCCTTTTGTTTGCTCCAATAGGATTTGCTATAATCAAAATTAAGTAGAATTTTTAGGGAAGTCAAGATACTACTTTGTTTACATTTTGATATATTCAAGACACACTACTTTACTTTCAGTTCTTCTTTCTTCAATTGTTAATCATCTACCATTCTTTAAATCCATTATTAAAACATTATTAAAGACTTGTTTCACATTTCTGAAACATTAAAAAGATATGAATTTATGAGGCATAATGTGCCTTTAAGATTGTCACGGAATCCTTATGATCTTTGACTTGTCATTCA